TTTTTTAAATAATTCGAATTTTATCAAAATCTAATATTATTTTCATGTGTCAAATACTTTAGAATTATTTAAGTTATGTAAACGTAATTCGAAGTTTGGTGCAACAAGAAATTATATTTTATATCCCAATGATAATAAACTTACCATTTTATACAGGGTGTCCACAAATTTAAACTAATCAAATAAGAACTTTAAGTGGCTATAACTTGATTAGGTTAAATACAACCCCATATTTTTTAGCTCACCAGGAAATGCAATTTTTCATTACCTATCGAATGGTACTAGGATGTTGATAACTAAGTTTTTGCCTTTTTACAAAATACACCAAATAATGGATCTGTGCACCATTTGGTGTTTTTTTTAATTAAAAGGTTAAATAACATATCAACAATACCATAAAACCGAGGCAAATTAATTATAGCAAATCTTCGAAATGTTGACCGTCCATTTCCAGGCACTTGTAAATTCTTTTTTCAAAACCACTGCTAACTCGGGACAACATTTGCGGAGTTACAGTTTTAAAAGCGTCTCTTATGCCTGTTTTCATATCGTGTGAAGTTGTCGGAAGCGTATGGTAGACAATTCCTTTTATGCACCCCCACAAAAAGAAATCTAGTGGAGTTAAGTCCGGAGATCTGGGGGGCCAATTTTGAAACCCATTTATGCCAATCCACCTCCAGTGATAATGAGGCGGAGCTCCATCCAATTGAAGCCACATGTTGGTTCTAATATTGAAAGGGACTTCTTCTAATAATATTGAGATATGGTCTATTAGAAACTGGAGAAACATCAAACCAGTTAGATGTCCTTCAAAAAAATAGGGTCCAATTAAATATTGGCCCAGTATTCCACTCCACACATTAACTGACCACCTATTTTGATTTTTCATGACCCTATATGCGCGCGGATTCGTATCAAAATAATAATGAAAGTTGTGTCTATTCACGAGACCATTGTTATCAAAAGTACATTCATCACTAAATAACACATTTCTGCCACTTTATCTAACAGCCACATGCAAAACTCGGTTCGGTTTTCAAAATCATTTCCATAAAGTTATTGGCAAAGCAAATTTTATAAGGATAAAAGTTGTACTTTTTGATAATTCTGGAAATACTTGATTGACTAATGTTAGTACTTTTGGATATTAGATTTTGACTAACATTGG